TTTTGTCATATTTTCAATCTTGAAATAATACTTTAATCTATTTCGAAAATGCTGTGTATTTATACTTAATGAAGTTTTATTTTAAATACACAATACACTCATATTCCTCTAATACAATCACATTTCTCTAATGCATACTCTTAAACTGATTCTATACTATGAATTTAAAGTTTGTTGCATTTATATGTGTGAATGTATAATTAGTAACCAGATAAATTCTTTTTTTAATTTTTTATTTCATATAAAATACGAAACAATAAGTATTGTCTCGAAAACAATTTAAAATCATAGCGATAATGATAATGCGTCATTAATAAACATTATACAACGGAAGTGCATAGTAGATGTAGATCAATACCCAATTTATACCGTAAAGTCTCGGAAATAAGCCACCCCAAAATAAGCAACCCTCTCTGATTTTGTCTAAAAGTATAGTTGAAAAGTGCTCGAAAATAAGCAACTCCCTAAAAATTCGTCCCAAATTGATGAAGTAGGGGGTTGCTTATCTTCGGGACTTTACGGAACATGTACTTTGGAGAATAGTTTTCGCCACATTTTCAGGTTGATTTAACTTTTCTTGAGTTACTATAAAATCTCCTATATCTTATTGTTTAAAGCCGACTAGAATGCGCCGACGCATAGTCGGCTAGCTGATTCAATCGAGCTAATTTCTTCAATGCGGCGTAAGTCGATCGCGAAAAATTTCCAAATTAGGATAGGAAACTTTTATTATCGTAATACCTGTAAAAGTTATTTTATGGGTTAAAAAAAGATAACGTGCGTTAATAAATAAGGAAATTCACATGATTATTCCTTGAGTCGGCTAGCCGGAACAAAAAATACCAACTCAGCCGCGCTGGTATTTTATTGTCGGCTTGAAACACTATTGTATCTTAACAAATAGCATAATGATGCAAAAAAATGGATCATTGACAGTGACTCAATCGGACTAGTACATGTTACATCGTGTACATTATGTACATTGTATCTAAACATTTGGAATAGAGTAGGATCAGGTTCATATGCAGTTACTAAAGCTTCGCTATTTAACTCACATTCTGGAATTTCTATTAGTCAATTTTTAATGAACTTTTATCTTAAAACTCATTGATACAATGAAGACATTATACTTGCATGATATCATATCACAATAGAAACTTCAACCAAATATGTCTCATAATCAAACTCCTTATAGCAACAATATATCAGCCTATTAAAATTCGTTTAATATGAATATAACAATCTGCTAAGGTATCAGTTCTTGACTCGAATTTTGATATACAAATTCTTAATTGATTTGATAATTGTAATTATTATATAGTCCCGCCTTTATATAATTTCACATTTGAGAACACAAGAAGTGAGATCTTAAAGAGGTTGTAAATATTTAAAGTAATGTCGAAATAAATATTTCATCAGACATTTCGACTTTTGACATGCTGAAAGCCCTTTCAATGTGTGCTTCCAATTTGAAGAAATGTCGAAAGTCATAAAATATGTTGAAATATAAATGTTGACTAAATGTTTAATTAGTAATAACATGGGATAGAAATTATAAATCATGAATATAAAGCGATTGATTGTAGATTTATAGCATAGTATGCAGTAAATTTTTTAATTAGCTTTAAAAAGTATTGAGAGCATCATTTTATATTGGTTGCTTTCTATCAAAATGGATATTCTTTTGAAATGGATCATTCTATAATATAATAGCGTAGCGAAGGTTACATTAATGATCAATTAGCTAAGAAAGAAACGCATTTAATCAATCATTCAATATATTAAGTTATTAATATGGATAGATTTTACATAATTTAGATATTTAACAGACGAAATGTTAAACGTCTGACAAAGACATTCTAATTTAAATGTCAAATGTCCATGTTTTATAACGATTATATGATCGTGATTATATAGAATGAGAAGATAGAGGTATGATTGTAGTTTGGATAAGATTCATCAGTTTTTAACTCAAAATTAAATATATGTTCTATCTTTTCTTAATGAATCATTGTCAAATGGCATAAAAAACGCTTTACGAGCCAAAAGAAATTGAACAATTGAATGCGCCAAGAACAAAATTTATTAGTCATTCGAACAAAGGTCATTAATAAATTGTTGTTGATATTCTTGTAAACAAGTCTGACAAAAATTCATATCTATACAAAAATTGAATAAAAAAAGCGACTTTTTAGTTTTATGTTATGATCACGTAATCATTGCAATATTATTTAAAGGCAGCAAAGCAAGATGGTATAGCAACACGTTGAAGGTAATCTAATTGACATAAGAGTTTTTGAATGGTACTTGAAGTTGACTGAACCTATTCATGATTTTTCCTTCCTATGATCTTTATGAGCAAAGAAATAGCTCAAAAATTTCAGTGAGTTACAGTAAGTCATTTTCATAACGATAAAATCAAAAATAAAATAATCTTTCAATCCTGTTTTGCATTCAAGACACATGCATAACAGCATATCAATACGTATCAACAGGAGAGTCGCAAGAAGGTTCTTTGGTTTCGAAAAAAGTTTTTCCACTTGCTATTTAATTTTGTTTTCTTGATCAATTCGAGCTTGTAAAAATTTCTTAGTGACATAATACAGCAATAATATTAATTAACGTTAAATTGGTAATTATGAGATAAATTACGTATTTATGTTTTTTAACGTTCGTCCTCCCTTGCGATGATTGTTATGTACGGTAAATTAAATTTCTTAAAATACTCACTTCACGTATCGATAACCATCTCTTTTAGGATTATCCTCCTCATCCGCTCACGTAAGATGACATGTTTAATGATTGATGTTAATATGATACACTTGTATTGTACTCTTATTAATAGTGTGTGTTTTGTGTGTGTGGGTATAAAGTCAACAGTTAAAATGTTAGTATTTTCTTTGAATACTTGTATATGTCAAGATTTTGTTTTAGCAACTAATAAAAACTTTCGTCACAATATTTTATGTTGGATTTTGCCACCTTGACAGACCATGACATGAGCCCATTTTTATAGTTACTGCATAACGATAATGATTAACTTCATGATGGCCAATTTTATGTAGTTGGGCTGAAATTTTCATCATTTCTAAAAAATTTTAATTTAATTTTATAAACTCGTAATATATCGTCGAAAGCAATTCTTTACGGAATTATATCGTGATTTTTATCTGAATATATTAAAACTTGGAATGATACTATTCTAACAAATCAATAAAAACTAATAGTCTCTCAATGATAAATCAATCGTTATTTTAAGAGTACACATTATATTCAAGTATAATGACTTTTCATATTGTATTTCCTTTTATATTTTCTTGTCTTTAATCGAATATCTGGTATTTTTGTGTCGATTATGAGTTCAGAGGAAATTAAAAATTTTGTTGATGGGTATTGAAAAATCACAGTCGATTATTGTTGGAAAGTTTATTATAAAATATGTATATGTGAATGAAAAAAGTAAGTGAACTTTACTAACAACATCAGCCCAGAATTTCAAAGGAATTAGCTGACATCATTAATTGGTATACAAATAAAGACTAGTCTAAAGGTAGATGTATTAAAAGAGGAAATTTTTATATTATTTTCAGTATTATTAGCTGTAAATAAAGATATTATAAAAAATTCAAATGAAAACACGTATTTTAGATACGATTGCTTCCAGACACAAATGAGGCATTACTTTGATCGGTTATGGCATAGCTAATAAATCTGCTTGTATAAATGGCACCCGGATGGACTTCTGTTCTTAGTGTATCGCAACTGTGTACAGTCGAGACATAGTGAGATATGCTTGCGTCCACTCCTGGATAAATTTCTTGCCTTAAACTATCATGATTAAGCCGACTTCGATCTCTTTCATTTTCATCAATATCATCCTCTATCCATTTTGAGCCTAAACGTCGCGTTTTTCTGATTACTTTAAGAAGTTCGTCAACGTTAGGCCTTTGAGATGGATCTTTATGCCAACATCTTTCCATCAAGTTCTTCCAACATCTTGGAGTCCCAGAGGCAATTTTAGGTCTTAAGCCATCAATGATGCCGAATTGAAGTTGGCTGTCATGACTACGATCACTAAATGGAGGTTGACCGTCCGAGGCAATTTCAGCCATAATAATTCCTATTGAGTAAATATCTGATGCTTGCGTGTATGGTTGACCGGTTAATACTTCAGGTGCCAGATAAGGCATTACACCATATGTTCCTTTTGTTAAATCAACCTCTTCAACAGGCCGCGATAATCCAAGATCAGTTATATAACTTTGGAGAACTAGTCTCCCTTTAAGCACATTTCCGCTATGAATATCACGATGAATGTAATTTTTTGAGTGAATCAGCTTTAAATTTTCAATTATGCCTTCTAAAAGTTGTACTCGACGATACCAATTTAAATTCTGGCGTTCGTTTTGTAAATATTGTCGAATATTGCCTTTTTCTGCATACTTTAATACTAAAACTAATTGATTCTTTTCTGGATAAAATGAAATACCGTAACATGTTATTCCTTTTTCACTTTTTCCAATGCATTCATAGTAAGCATAAAGCTATATTAATAAAAACATATTAGCTTAAAACATATAAATCAGAATTTTAATTAATCATTAATCTCCTTACTTCGTTAAGAAATTCTTTTGAGAAATTTTTCGAATTTTCTAAGCATTTTAAAGCAACTTGTGAGTCTCGACCTGATCTCCAATTTGCTGAATATACAGTCGCAAATCCTCCTTTTGCCAAATATTTGATATCAAAAAAGTCATTAAAATCAATCCATTCCAAATCCTTGACCTTTTGATTTGTTTCCCAGATGAATTTATCCATCTCGTAATTTCCGGTTCTTTTTTCTAAGTCTTCGTTAATTCCTTTGAAATCCAAATGTATACACCAATACTTCTCTTCACCTCCATAACATTCAAGACAAAGGCCAATGCCAGTTGGATTGCAAGTTTTGCACAAGATACTTTTCAAACGAATATTTGTCGAGATGCATGACAAGCAGGAAAAATCAACGTTTCTTTTTAGATTTTTACATCCATCCTTCAAGCATTGATACCCAATAAATCCTTTTGCATTGCAAATAGAGCAAATTTTCGAGTTTTCCAAGTCTTTTAAAGCGAACTTAGTGTTTATGATAGGATGTTTTATATAATCCTCGAAGAATTCTCTAAGATTAATCCATTTCAAATCTTTATTACGTTGCTTTTCTTTCCATATGAATTTATCTATCTCGTGGTTTCTGGTTATTTTTTTTACATCGTCATTAATCTCATTGAAATGCATGTGCATGCACCAGTACTCTTCTTCAAAAAACTCATCACCAAAGCATTCAACACAAAGGCCAATACCAGTTGGATTGCAAGTTTTGCACAAGATAGTTTTCAAACGAATATTTGTCGAGATGCATAACAAGCAGGAAAAATCAACGTTTCTTTTTAGATTTTTACATCCATCCTTCAAGCATTGATATCCAATGAATCCTTTTTCGTTGCAAATAGAGCAAATTTTCGAATTCTCCAAGGATTTTAAAGCAATCATGGTGTTTTGGATGGGAAAATTTACATTAAATATGTCGGTCGGTAAAGCTTGTATTATCAAGTCATTTTTCCATTTTCCTGAAAAAACTGCTTCAAATCCTCCTTTCGCTGAACACTTTGTGTCGAAGAATTCTCTAAGATTAATCCATTTCAAATCTTTATTACGTTGCTGTGCTTTCCATATAAATTTATCTATCTCGTGGTTTCTGGTTATTTTTTTTACATTGTCATTAATCTCATTGAAATGCATGTGCATGCACCAGTACTCTTCTTCAAAAAACTCATCACCAAAGCATTCAACAC